TACATTATTTATCTAAGGCATGACAAAGCCGGCCATTTTTCCTGAAATAACTAGTAATAGCGTGGCTCCCTCCTTCCCAGCTTTGGTATGTCGCAAGAGGTCAACACGGCTGAGCGGAGTACTGGAATTCACGACCTTTGAGGGGAGAGAAAGAGTACTACGGTACAGGCACATCCTGTATCTCGAGTATGCTTCCAACACACTAATTTTCAGAGCTATCATTACATTCTCTGACATAGGTGAGAATCTCCGTGGCTTCCTCTCCCGGAGGAACGTTGACAAACTGAATGCTCAGGCTTAAACAAAGCATCCTACGGCAATGCCAAATACCAGCGACATCTCGTCCCTTCGCTTGACGGAAGAGCCACAAAAGAGAGCATCAGAGCACAAGGAACAGCTAGCGTCATTGCGAATCACAACGGGAATCTTCTGCCGCAACGGGGGTTGCAACGACTCGAACCTCTGTCAAGCTCACCTAGAGACCCGGAAGCTTCGAGCTGCTCTCCACCAAAGAACGGCGGAGCAATTTCAAAGGTTTCGAAGTTTCGAACGAACTGAGAGACAAAACAGGGCATGTCTGCAGGGTTAGGGCAAATTAGAATAATTCTCGAAAATTTGAAAGAGAAAATGCAGGATCTACAAAGGATACTAGACGAAATAATGAAAGACGTACCCTGAGGATGCATCCCTCATTCGCTCCTGAGACATCGATTGGTTGGGTGCGGAAACGGTCCATTTGGGTGGCTGTATTTCCTTCCAAGCATTTCCGACTGTTTAAGCTGGCCGTAGACGTCGTATATGAGGGCAGGAATTACCACGAAACTCGTTCTGGATCAGAAACATCGGAGAAAACAAAATGGCCAGAGACCTCTTCGTCTCTACTTCAAGATGCTGAAGATTTATAAGTACAGTAACATTTAATCTGATACAGCGACTAAATGAACCTTGAACACAGTTATATGTTTGCGTCCTCATGAGAATCAGAAGATGCTGTAGCCCCCATAATATCCGGATAATCATTGTATATAGGATCCACATACCCTGGAGGTTCAAATAGACTAGATGCTGCCTTCCAGCTTGCTTCCGAGGCATCCCATCCATATACTGGCCATGAGGATGGGTCTTGGAATGGCATGAAGCTCGGAGGATTCAAGCCCTGGTGATTGTCGCCATCCTTGTCGCTACTCAAACGCTGGCAACAGTGTGGGCCTTGGTGATAGCCACTATCGAAACGACTTCCTGGAGTCAAAAAGGCACCAAAAAGTTCGTGGAATTGTGCCTCCATGTCCAGTGGCTTGATAAAGGAGTTGAAAGCGTTTGGAGGTATCAACGGAGCCTCGCTTTCTGATGGGCTTCCTTTCGCTTGGGTGAGAGGCGGATTGGTTGACGAGCCTTTTGAATACGGAACCACCGTGGACACCGTTTCGTTGCTCGGGGTTGAAAGGCCAGTCAAGGCTGCTTCTATCTCAGCCTTGGTGATATTCACGCCTTCCAGGAGAACGCCCTGGTCCAGTGACTGAAAGTTGTCGAACACAACCGCGGCCGTGACCTCCAAAGGACTGTTGCCGCGGATAGACTGGACAAGGTTGCTGACCAAATACTCGTCGTTGAATCTGATGCTTTGTAGTATACCGTACAAAATTCCCCGTTCGTGAAGGTATGATTTCTTGGGACGCTTTCGTCCGTCCGTTCTGAAGTGACAGGAGATCCCGGTCCGGATGCAAGGGGTGCAAGGATGGCCAGAGCCACACTGCGATAAAAGTTTAGCCTAGGAGTCTACAATATCTCTGTCCGGAGACTTGCCTTAATCTTTTTTCGTTTGCATGATTGACATGCTCTTGAGGCAGTTGCTCTTGAAATTGTCGCCATTTGGACAGATCCAGCGAGACATGACCAACACAGAGGGTTGTTCTTCCCGACTTATGTATCCTTCAATGCCGCTTTCTCTCCAAATCGGTGTTATAGCACTGTTTCAGACTTCAATTGTGGTCCTCAGACGTCTTCAAACTTATCCTGGGCCGCCGCTTCGTTTACGCAGCAATCCAGGCGGCGAGTGTCCCCTGCACTGCACCTTGCGCTGTGTTTCAAGATAGTTACGCCTCACAGTCGGTGTCTCAAATCGGCTTCTACGCGGCCTGGGAGCCGAGTGGTATTGGATCTCCATCCTTTCTTGTGGTCGATATGTAGGCCACGCGATTCACGTCCGAGGGATAGCACCTTTCTAAATCCCGTTGCGAGGGGAACGCTGACATACATTTCGCGACGAAAAGGGACTGGTGTACTATGCCAGGACGCTCACACGCAACGAAGGAAGCTTTGGCCCCTGTCGCTCTGCCGAACAGTGTTTTTGGTTGCGGATCTGGAATAACGTATGGTTTCTGCCATCACATTAATGCGTAGAGTTTGTGCTAATTGAAAACAGTTAGCGCAAAAGGGGACGCTCTTGCGTATCCACTCGCGTCACGAAAGCTGGGTTGAGCAAAGGCCGAATCAGAATGGCGTCTCTTTCCCCGTCGCCAGAGGGCCAATGTACGGGTTGGCGCTTAGCGACCGACTCATTATTGGTGCGACATCGGTTTTGGTGCATCGTCGTCGCGTGCTCATCTGTGACCAACAAGCTATTCTGGACCTATCATTGCTGCGAAGTCCTATCCAGGTCACTGATCTGGGCAGCTCAAGCTCCTTCATAGACCGCTCAAGAGTTGCGTTGAGCGCCCCGAGACATCCATTCTCTATTGCCCCAAACTGTACAATACAGTCAAATAACACGTCCATTAAATGGGTAGAGAATTACTGCGGCGGCTGTTAAGCTTTGCTTAGGCGCCCAAATGCCAGCACTGATCACATCCCGCCACGGCCCGCCGGTGGTCAGATGTTTCAAATTATGCTTTTGGCTATGTGGCCACATCGGAACTAGCAGCCATGGTTGTCGAACTATAAACACGCAGCTTCCACTGAGGGACATGACATAATTCAGCAAAGAGCAACCTAAGTTAAGGCCGGACCGGAAGCATTCCAAAATGGGGCCGACCGTACCTTGGGCGGCTCTCCGTAGCTATGATTGGTGCACAGCAGGGATAAGCTGGAACAAAAGACTTTCTTGTTACCTACTTGTATAGTGGTGAGGTCTTTGACTTTAGACCCTGGTACTAGGGGCCATGCTCGTCGTACTCGTCGGCCTCCTTTGCCTCTGGCGGTCCCACCGCCACTTGATGCCCCCAATTCAACATGGCCACTTACAATTATCGATAATAAATGGTTTCAATGTTTGAACCCGGATTAAAGTACATAGCTAACTCAGAAATAGGAACATTGAAGAAGGTCATGCAGGTTACTCCAGGGACACGCTGGAGGGTGGTCCCGAAATTATATGGGCTCGGCTTTAGTGACACATTGGTACATTAACATACGGCATATTCCCGACACAAATCCAGACCTTTTTGGTAACATTTTTATTACTGTAAGTCCGTCGTTCAGAATTAAGAGCTGCTACCTCGTCCTCCGCCCTAACCTACAGGCTTCGGACCTGACTTTATACTGTAGATCATATTGCCGAGTTGATTCATCTCTCTTCATCCGTCGCTCAGATCTAAGATCTTTGGATAACTGAGTTTTGTTTGGTGCCGTTGGAGGGGCTGATCTCAGGTGCAAGAATGTGGAGACAATGCAGAGGTTTGGGAGCAGCACGTTCGATTTGTTCTAAGCCAGCAAACACCGAGTAATGAGAATCTTCCTCCGGACGATCCTACAAACAAGAGCGTCCATTTTCCATCGGTAAGAGCCTCTATCGTCTACTGCGGGAGCCACGAAGTCTGATCAGGTGTCCCCTTGCCCTGTGACATTTGGTAAGGTGGATGGACGTATCACCGTATTCAAGCTATCACACATTGTACGCACTCCGTCCATCATTGTCTCATTTAGTTTCTCCATTTGGTTCATCTGATCAACAACTTGTGCCAGTGACTTTTCAATCCGAGACGTTCTGGTCTGAAGATCGACTATTACGTTTTGCATGTCTCCAAGAGCCTTATTGCATCTGCAATACTTGTCAGATCTAGCATTGGTTAACATAAGACTCGATGTACCTCTCGATGTCTAGCAACTGCCCCCCAATTGTCCGGACTCGTTGCGCTGCGTTGCGCATCTCCTGCCCCAGCATTATTGTGGACTTTTCTCCTAAGTTCGACGTGCTTTTGATGGAGGGTGACCGCAGTGGCTGCTGTGTGGTTCTCTGCGAAGGCTTTGTAACAACACGATGACCATGTTGTGTCAATGTCGGACCCGTACTCCAAGCGGCCTGCCGGCTAGGTCCTGTATGACTGAAATTTTGGACTTGTGAGAGACCGCCATTGTTCGAAATCATTTGCGGGTCGATGAATGGACTCTGAAGACCTAGTCCATGGTCTCTGTCAAAACCTTCCAGTCCAAACTGATCCTCAATTGCAGAATCGAAAATGTTTCGCTCGTCCATACCTGGGGACGTTCGCCCATAGAGAATAGTGAATCTTCTTTTCCCCTCCAAGTGACCAGAGCCCGAGGAACGCGACTTCTAGTGTACCTGGGCGACGGATTGATTTCAGTTATTCAAGCTCCTAGCCACGCAATTCGAAGGGGGTTGCGTGCCTAAATGGCGGCGAAACCATTTTGAAACGCGGATCCTATCATCGTTCGAGAGTCCAGATCCCACCTGTCTGCCGAAGAGCCAGCCACTTACCACAGTTTACAGCGGTAGGACACTTTGTACTGCTACTTGCTCGCGAGATGACGAGTTTGGTGTGAGTATACGGGATTGGTACAGTACCAATCAGGTTCATGGGAAGGAGTGGTAAGAAACTGCGGAGTTCCAGACTCCGGCGTAGCTAAGGTTGAAACAGACGTGAACCTAGACACCAGGGTTATCTGTGGTCAACTCCACTAACGTACTGCTAGAGAAACCCCCACCCCAGCGTGTTTGCGAAGGCCGAATTATTGGTCTCAGTTTCGAGAAACCTCGTAGAATAATGGTTCATTTAAATGCCAGTTTTCATTGGGTGATGGAACTCGAGGCCTGCCGGAATAGCATCGCCGATAATCCCTGCCTCCGAACTGGTCGACTACACTTTCCGAGGTTCACCAGAACCGGAAACTCACGGATCCTGGTCGAGGTCAACCATAGATCACTGTGGTGTTTTCAAATAGCTGTCCGCATTGCTTCAAAATTCGACTATTATCAAGGGCTGAAGGACTCGGTCAAAGACAGGATGGGGATGGATCGTCCCAATGAGTACAAACTACTCGTTGAACTCTCCATTGAGACCGACAACTGGTTGTATGAACGACAGTTGGAAAGAAAAGGGACTTACACAGGGGGAATGACCTACAAAAATAAGCAATACCACGGAGACCCCATGGACCTCGACATGATCCAACGGAAAGCACAGTCTCGTGCCGCGCAAGGAAAATATCAGAGGAATGGAAACAACAAAACCCGCGGATTGCCACAATCGGAGCGAGAGAAACGCAAGAAAAACGGTCTGTGCTACGAATGCGGAACATCCGGACACCGTGCGAAAGAATGCAAGAACGGTCCAACGCTGCACATGATGGACGACGGTATAGCCGGTTGTGAAGAAACAAAGGCCAACACTTCACAGGAAACTCAAATGGCAGCCGACAGCCAGAGCAACACAGCACAGATGGACCACCCAGGTACGGAATCTCACAAAGAGATAGGTGGATCCCAGAAAGAAGAAATTCCCAAGGAAGGAGCCACCTTGGAAGAACAGGAACGACAACAGAAATTACAGCATTCGCTCTTATCTTGGACAGCGTGCTACGACGATAGCTGCACGGCCCACTACTCTGAAAAGATGGGAAGTGGATGGTTCCCAAGACGACCCAAGAAGGCAAGGAAGACCAACTCATTGAAGCGCCAGGAAGCATTCATAATCAACAATGAAGATGCTGATAACGAATAAGGATTCTGGATGATGCATTCATCTTATTCCGCCACTGTTGCATGACTGATGCTTAGGAATCGCTGAAGACTTTGACCACGTGAGCGCCGATCTCATGCCCTCCCATAGCGAAGCTTGACGCTCTCCAACCTGAGACATTTGATCGACGATGTGAAAGATATTGTGTATGCCAGAGCCGCTCGCCATAGGGATCGATGCTTCTTCGGTTGGGGCATCTGCCTCCTCCTCCTCCCCCTCCTCCTCCTCCTCCTCCTCCTCCTCCTCCTCCTCCTCTTCTTCTTCTTCCCTCCTGTCATCTCTAGACTGTAGCGACCGCTGCCTGTTGGCCCTACCTGCGAGCGTAATCTGGCGGACGCTGGGATCTTGGAGCTGTAGAATATGATGAATTCATAAACCTTGGAAGATATTTCCTTGCGTCCTTACCAATTTCTGCTTAGAGAATGGCCAAGTATCCGAAATTTTCTCCGAGCTGAAATAGTCGGTACGTTGTCCTGCCTGGTCGGTGACCTGGAGAAAGACTTTCATCTGGCACATTGCGTTCAATTCCCCGGCCTTTTTGACCAAACACAAACGCCGACGCCGTCGTTGCTCATATTTCGCCTTCGTCTCCTTCTCTTCCTTGTTGAGAGGACGATTCTTGCCTTTCCGGCTATGCTTTGTGATCATGTGGGCGATTTTTGGATGTCTTCCGCGCTTTGCCATGTTCTCATTGCAGGGCCGGAAGAAACGGATGAACCAGTCAAGCCTGTGGCGAGCTCTAGCAAAAATCAAAGCGAATCCGTGGTGCTATTACTGTCAGACATGTCTTTCCGTACACCGGCTTCTGGAACGTATAAAAGATCGTGTGTGGCCTCACCGCCTTATTGATAAAGTCCCATGGAAATCCGTGGGATGCGGTAACGAGACAGACTGAAGCCCGTGCCACAGGATTGCGTGTATTTCTCTTCGTTGTCTCCAGGCCCTCTGCCGACCGTATGTGGACACAGCACTAAACGAAAGTTAGTTTCACCTGTCAGAAGATTTTCCTGGACACGGTTAGGGCGTCCGTATAAGGTTCTGTACAGTGGCGGTCACATCGAACCTATCTCCGGACCCATATAGACAACTTCATGTCACAATCCTTTCCTCTTTGGCTCCTCGGCTATTATGTTGCCAAGAAAAGTCGGGCGGCTTCTGAAACTCGCGTCGCCTCGACTAAACTATCCCTGCGCCTCGAAAGCCCATGTGTAACCATTGGTGCCATTGCTATCCGGAGTTCTACCTCCGCAGGGTCTACGCGGTAGACTGCGCCAGCATATTCATTGGGCCTATATTAAGCATCCATATTCCAATATATCTGTCACATCCCCTATGTGAACCACTCAGTTTCAGCCTGTTGTCTGACATAGTCCACCAAACTATCCGCGCCGTACTTTGCTTCACCGCGGTAACAGAAGAGTTACAGTTCCAGAGATATATTCGTCTGCTCGCCTTCCCCCTTTTCCCACGACTTTCCGGAATACCTGACGTGATTGTCGTCTCAAAACACTTTGCTCATGGCAAAACAATCAAACGGACGAGATTCGAATAGTACAGCAACACAGCATATTTGAGCAGTAAGCTCACAGCCTCAACTCCTTACAATAGGAAAACAATATTGCACTGCAAGAAGAGGAAAGGATGTCTCCGAGTGACATGAGTCATGAGCCGGAATATAAACTCTCCAGAAGTGGCTTGGACGCATTGCTGTCCGATCACGATCCATTCTATCCTACTGGACAGATTATGCGGCCATCCAAGCCAAATGACGAGCAGCAAGGTCCTTCCCTATGTCGGACTAAGGGGCCATCCCTCTTTCAGCAAACTAAGCTCTCATTCCCTGTTGGTCAAGCGAATATCACTCCCGAAGAGAACACTAAATCAGCAACACCTCAAGGCAGGATCTTCCTGCCTCCACCGAGCCAACTTCACAGCCTTCGCGAATTACGCTGCTCTAATGTGACTCCTTGGCTGTCCACGGGGATTGGTGGAGCTCCCTTGCAAAATGGAGACCAGAATGACGTTCTTAACACGGCTCACGCAATTGAGACAAAAGAGGCCAGTCATCAGCACCCCTTACGAGCCGTCGCAACACCACAGATCGACTTTACAAATTCCTCTGTACTGCAAACCGTCCCAGCGACGCTTCATGACAAGACCGATGCGGAAAGTCACAGTTTCCGTCAAACACCGCACCGTCGCACGAAGTTCGGTTGCCTATCCTGCCGTAAGCGGAAGAAGAAATGTGATGAACACCGACCCTCATGTAAGTTATTTGCTATGTCTTACAATTAGCTAAGCTTTCTTAAGGCTAATGAACGCGGTCTGACAGGTAATAACTGTCTTCGTCTTGGAATCAAATGCGAAGGCTATGACAACGGTCCTCGAAGAATTGTGCTCTGGCCTAAGAAGTCCCGCAAGGCAACTGAACAACCCGCCAGAGCTGCGAAGCCTTCCTTTGACCATGTTCCAGATGTGAACAGGGAAGGTTTATCACAAGAATTTACCACTCTGGTTAGTCCGGATGAGAAAGCCGCTCGAACAAGGGGTTTCGCAAGAAATGGGTCTTCAAACTGTCGACATTGGTCGTTTCCTCAAATGAGGACAAACTTACTTCCTCCTCTTCATCTTGCTGTACCAATGCCTAATGATCCCATACGGGACCATCTGAGTCGACCATGAGAGATATCGGTGCCACCCATTGTATGTCAATTGCCCGGACCTATTCCACAACTGAGTTTTGAAGGTTATTGTGCAAGGGGAAATTTGTTTTACAGAGAGGGTTACATGATAATTCATGTTCAATATCTGACGGCGAATGAGCGTCGTCAGGCCCCTATATCATTTGAGAAGTAAACTCTTTCTTAGCATTGGTCAAGCACCCAATTTCTGGCTGCTCTTCAGATGAAATTTTCAGTCCCGCGGGACCGTTCGACTCCAGATCACTACTGCGGCACTTGCATCTAATTGCAACTTAGGCTTTGAGGCAACCCGGGTTTCAATGATTCGAGGGTGGATCAGTGGATCGCTTTCCCCTACATGGTGGTGATCTTCTCATTGGTTCGATGCAGATAAAGCCTGAGATTATACTCTGTGTCTTCAATTTTTTCATCGTAGCCTTGGACAGAGATACAGGCTCTAAGGTTGAATTAGCGGAATCCAAAGAAGACATGCGAAAATGTGCGACTAACTTGGTCTCTAGATTAATTGAGATCGTTGATCGATACTCTTCGATCATGTCGATAAAATCATTCATATATCCACCCGTAAACTTTATAGTCGCCCAATCTCGAAGGCTAGGTACTGATGCTTCACTAAAAGCTTCATTAACGGGTCGAACATGTCGCATACTCGACAGCCTCGGTCAATAAGAGCTGGAAGAAGGGGATTTGAAGTGTGAGGGTTGACTCCTTGGTATCGAGTATCTCCTACAGAATCACTCTGAGTTTTGTAAGCTCATCTCGAAATCTGCGTAAGGTCCTGTCGTGTTGATCGAAGCCGACAACGGTTCCAGAAAGCGACTGCGTTGACCGGACAGCTTGTTGGGTGGCAGCCCGCAAAGAGGCAGGAATATTTACAGGGGTCCGCTATGCTCGACATTCGCTGCGATGCTTAATAGCCCTGAACAATCGACGGAGAGATCAGAGTCAAGAAGATCTCATTAACTTGAGATCTGATGTGGTGGTAAGGATTCAAAGCACGCAGTCGAGCCTACGCTGTGCGAATAAACGCACTTCCATATATATTGTACAGTGATGTGCAGAATTGCCGTCACCCTTGGTAAGCAGAGAATCTGTAAACACCCATGTCAGTTGCCTCCACTGCAGCCTAGTCTTACCACTTATAGTTAAACTTCACACAATGGCAAGGGCCAATGATTTGAGACTTGAACCGAGGGGCTTAGAAATGCTATGGTATGAGGGAAAGATAATTGAGTCATTTGAAATGTATTCTCTGCATCCAATGGGGAATGGAACTACTAAAGGACAGCTTGGCAACACGGAAAAGGCGCCATAGATCATTACACTGTGAGGCGCCTTGTCCCGTGACTAAGATCAAATGTTATTGTAGTTAGCCAACAATTTAGGAGGGAGGGAGAGAGCTTCCTGTTTTGGGCAGTCGCTTCACGATGCTGCATTGCCGGTACAGCCATATAGCCGTGTGTTAGGGTGCAGAAGCTCTCATGTTGTGGTCATAGAGTGTTTCATTAACATTGCTGTCTTAATCCACTTCTGTCAAGGTTGGATCATGGCTGCAATATAAACATTCACCCTCTGCGTGTCCTCGGTGATATACCGCCCCAAGATCCGCTGCGCTGTCCTCTGTTGTCTCTCGAGGCTCCTGGTGCAGTGGACTGGTTCCCCTTACCGCCTCATGAAGGAGTGCAAGAAGCGCGTTTTCCATTGTACGTTCATCCATGTCTTGGTGTTTCCATATTGCGAGCATGATGTTGATACCAATTTTACTGTGAGGATGGTCGAACCCGAAGACTCCTAATATCCCCACGACAATCACGACTTGAACTTACTCCGCCGCCTCGTACTTTCCCTGATCGCTCAGCACCCCGGCGAGGTCGTTCATGCTCGTTAGCGTCGATAGATGCTCCTTCCCTAGCACCCTCTCCCTCACTTCCACCACCTCTCGATGTATCTGCTCCGCCACCTCGTACTTTCCCTGATCGCTCAGCACGGTGGCGAGGTTATTCATACTCGTTAGCGTCGATGGATGTTCCTTCCCCAGTACCCTCTCCCTCACTTCCATCACCTCTCGATATATCTGCTCCGCCGTCTCGTACTTTCCCTGATCGCTCAGTACGGTGGCGAGGTTACCTATGCTCGTTAGGGTATCTGGATGCTCCTTCCCTAGTACCCTCTCCCTCACTTCCACTACCTCTCGATACATCTGCTCCGCCGCCTTATACTTTCCCTGATGCCTTAGTACCGCGGCGAGGTCGTTCATACTCGTTAGCGTCGATGGATGCTCCTTCCCTAGTACCCTCTCCGTCACTTCCACCGCCTCTTGATGTATCTGCTCTGCCACCTCGTACTTTCCCTGATGGCTTAGCACCCCGGCGAGGTTGTTCATGCTCGTTAGCGTCGATGGATGCTCCTTCCCTAGCACCCTCTCTCTCACTTCCACCACCTCTCGATATATCGGCTCCGCCGTCTTGTACTTTCCCTGATAGCTTAGCACCCCGGCGAGGTTATTTATGCTCCTTAGCGTATCTGGATGCTCCTTCCCTAGCACCCTCTCCCTCACTTCCACCACCTCTCGACATATCTGCTCCGCCGTCTCGTACTTTCCCTGATGGCTTAGTACGGTAGCGAGGTTATTTATGCTCGTTAGC